CCCCCCCCATATATCTTTAGAGAATACACTACTATGCTTTGTGGACTCAAAGGAAAGAACTAGACATAAAGAAAAATGGTCAGATGTTATGTACAGGTAACTTTTAACATTCCCTTTACAAACTGATAGTTCTAATGTCTCTCCTTTCTAGAACCTACGGTTCCACTAATTAGGTTATGAAGACAGTCAGTGAAAACAAAAAAGAAGTAATACACACCTCTCCCTCTTCTGACATTAGAGAATTCCTCACTTTCCCCACCCCGTTTCTCACGGTGTGGCGCGCCGCTGTTACTTCGTCCATCTTCTCCTCCATGCTTTACTTCACCTTTTCCTTCGACTGCTGCCACCTGCATCTCCCCAATGTTGCCATTTCCAGGAAAAATTTGAACATCTTCAGGAAAACCAGAATTTTCCAAGGGCTTATTGGGATCACCACCCAAGTAATATCGAAATGGTCCATTGTTTGATGTAAAGCTATCTAAAGACTACAAATTTAAAAACACTTAGTTAAAAGCTACAAACAAATTATACACTACAAAGTTTTCTTAATAATAGGTTACTGTTTTTATAAAATATTTTTTCATGTTATTACAAAAATATTATTTTTCTAAAAAATTTCTTCAATTCATATTCTGCCTCCTATATGTAAGGGGAAATGGGATAGAAATGAATCATCCATGAGCAAAGAATTGAGAAGTTACGGCAATAAATTGTTCTCATGAGTCACTCATTCATCCAAGACACATTTAAATGTCTACTTTTATCCTAGTTACTATGCTAAAATCTAAAGGTAAATATGAAAAAAGAGATAGAATCTCTGTCTGCAAGAGACTTCTAGTCTTAGCAAGAGAGAGAATATTATTACAATATAGTTTGATAAGCGTAATGAAAAAGATATACAAAGGGTGCCATGGGAGCTCACAGGAGGGGTGCCTAATTCATATGGGGTTGGGTACAGGCTTGGTCGGGATAGCCTTCCTGGAAGAAATGATATGAACTAAATCCTGAAGAACAACATAGGGAGGAGGCAGCCATGTGAAGACGGAGGCAGAGACTGGAGTGATGCAGTCACAGGTCAAGGAGCCCCTGTGGCCACGAGAGCTGGATGAGGCAAGAAATTAATTTCCCCTGGAGCCTTAGGAGGAGCACAGCTCTGCCAACATCTTGATTTCAGACTTCTAGCCTCCCTATACTTCTAGAACTATGAGAGAATAAATTTCTTTTGTTTTATGTAAAAAAAACCCAAAAAAACAAAATTTGAAGAACAGATGACTATAAGCCAATTCAAAGGCATGGTAATGATGACAGCACCTACCAATAACGTAGTAGTGGGATAGAGGATGATTTGAGAACTTCTGAGATTACATAATCTATAAGACTTGAACAATGAATGTGGGGAGTAAGAGCAAGGAAAAGACTAGATGGTTTTGTGATAGTCACCAAAAGAAATATAGAGGATAAGGAGGTTTCAGGGGACAAAAAGAGACAATGGTGTATAGTTACAAATAAGTAAAAAATTGAGGTTCCTAGGCAAGATATCTAATAGGGCAGTCAGAATTCAGAAGAGAGATACATGTTGGAGATAGAACATGGAGAGTCATTAGAAGGTGAGTGATGGCTGAAACCAAGGTAGTAATAATTAGGGATACATGCCTGAAGAACAGCAAATTTAAGGGGTCGACAAGAGGAAGAAGAACTCGCAGAGGAAGGCTACAATGGGCCAAGAAGTATAAAAAGAAACCCTTAAAAAATGGTGTAATGGAGGCCAAGAAAGTATTCTCAAGGACAAAGTAGCTAATATTGTTTAATGATATTCAAGTGAGATGGGAAATGTAAAGCATCCACTTAAATTAGCAACAAAGGCATGTTGGCATATATCTGAAGTGAGTCAATACCATGAATGAACACAACCAACAGAAAGCCTGGCTGTAACGGGGAGGGGGGAGATAAGACAACGCTTAGAAGGCATCATAAGGTTGGGAGAGGATTTTCTTTTAAAGATGGAAGGAATATGAATAGCTTGAGAAAAAAGAACCAGAAGAGGGACACTGGTTGGAAACAGTCTGGAAGATATAAAATATGAAGGTCCCCGAAGAGGTGGGAAAAATATGTATCATTAGAGAAACTGGCCTTAGATGGGAAGGTCTTCCACTGAGGTGGAAGAAAGGTGGCAAAGGCTGAATGGGTGTAGCTTATAGTCAGTAAGTCAAAGACAGAAGTGTCCAGGCGTGAAGCTGGAGGAGTTACAACCTAATGGCTTCTATCTTCTCAGTGAAAACAAAATCATTTGATGAAAGCAAGGAAAAGTTGAAATGGGACTAATGAGTACCAATCCCCTACCCACATCTCCCATCCTGGTAGAACACTAGCTTCTTATGCTTTAGGAGCTCCTCAAAGTGTGGTCTGCAGACCAGCAGCAGCAGCATCAACTGAAAGCTGGTTAGAAATGTAAATTCATGGGTCCCACCCCAGACCCACTAAATGAGAAACTCTGGGGCTCAGGCCCAAGAATCTGTGCTATAACAAGCTCCTCATTAAAAGTTGAGAAGTGCTGCTTAATAGATAAGGAGAATGTATAAAACAAAGGGGAAAGAAAAAATCTAAAATGTTGCTTTCTCATTTTTTTATCTTAAAAATCTAACTCACCTGACAACTAGTATGCATTGGAATTCTGGTTTGAAATATCAGAATTATATATATAAAATATTTCATATCTTCAAGTCTCTATTCCAGTTTCAGAACAGTACTTCCAAACCATTATCTATTCCATGAAGTGGTTTATTTTCAGCTTCTGCAAAGCAATAACTACTAATAATTTGGCCTTTCAAAATCTCAACCTTTTAGAAAAGGGTCTATAAGTTATTCAACTTATTTAAACAGCACTGTGGAATAAAAAAGTGACTTTCTTTTCAACAGTATTTTGTTTGGTGAGATGAGGCCCTTGAAAGCATGAGGTCGTCCATCACCTCAGAAATTTAGTAAAACCAATGGGATATAGTGCTTTCAGAACACGAGCCCTCTGGGAAGGACAGGAACCAAGAAAATATTATGTACAACAAGGTAAAACCATTACTATGATTTTCAAAATGTAGTGGTATTCACAAACCAGTACCACAATCCTGAAAATAAAATTCTAACATTACATTTTTTAAAATAATTTATTACAGATTATCGGTTATAGATAAAGAAGTTAAAAGTAATATTACTTAAGAATGAGTTTAGTCCTGGCTGGTGTGGCTCACTGGTAAGAGTGTCAGCCCAAGCACTGAAGAGTCACGGGTTCAATTCCCGATCAAGAGCATGTATCTGGGTTGCAGGTTCAATCCCCGGCCCCAGTCAGGGCGCGTGGGGTAGGCAACCAATTTATGTGTGTCTCTCACATCGATGTTTCTCTCTCTCTCTCCCCCCTTCCCTCCCACTCTCTCTAAAACTCAATGGAAAAAATATCCTCAGGTGAGAATTAACAGAAACAAATAAAAAAAACAAAATGAGTGAGCTTAGATTAACAATAGGTCAGGTAATAAAACAAGATCTTAATTATACTAGCAGATTGGCTAATACCTCAATGGATAAGAAAAGATGAAGCTTGAGGACAAAATAAATAATGGCTCTTTAGAACACATTATTCTAGAAGTCATAAGAAAGCACAGCAAAAGGAATTCATTACGAAGTGTTAACTGAACTGCAGAGCAATAATGATGGTACGATTGTATGTTCACATAATTAAATTCAATGTTCTTGTGGAAGAAGGAAAGAAAACCATGACAGAGGCAACATAAATTAGAAAACCATTACAGAGGCAACACGAAAAAGAAACATCGAACTATAATGCTCATTTTTAAACTTATTATGGAAAATTTCAAACATACTACAGTACCAACCACTCTGTTTTAACAATTATCACTTCAGGGCAACTCTTGTTTTAGTTTACCTATGACTCACATGCCCATCCCCAGTGAATTATTCTGAAACAAATCCTAAACATCGTATTATCAGGTTAAACACTTTATTGCAATGAGATAAATATATCAAAAAAACTTAAAACATAATTTACTTTGTATGTATGTATGTTGTGGGTAGGGAAATGCTTAACTACTACATTCAAGAGGCAATTATAAAACTTTTAAAAGTACTTTTATAAGTGGAAAATACAAGAAAGAGAAAATGGTCAAATCATAATAGACAAAGAATAAATGTGATATTAGTCCACAAAAAGAACTTGGAAAAACACCTTGATTCTCAAGGACTCCAAAATTGATCATAGAGATTAAATATATTTTTAAAAGAACCCACCTAGGAAATTTGTGGCTGACAACCTATAATTAACCTAGACTTGGTGAGGATGGGTGATGTGGTGGGGCTGTATCTTATCTAAGAAAGTTTCCTTCAGGAAGGGACATCTGCATTAGGGTTTAAAGGATGGACAGGAGTTAACTCGGTGTATGAGGCAGTGAATGGTGAATTACATTCCAGCAAAATTAATGCAAATATGCTGGTGCTGGAAGAGAGAAGGGAAAAGGACTTGACGTATTAGAGGAACAGAGAAGACCAGGGTGGGTATGAGCAAAGCCCAAACATAAGAGTGGTGTGCACAGAGGCTAGAAAAGTAAGTAGGAGCCAGATCAGGCAGAGCCCCATGAAGAATTTTAGTCTATCAACTGATTTATAGAGAATATAGGAGCAAACCTAGAATCTAGTAGCCAGATATTTACTATGATTAATCTCATCCAGTCTTCCCCAATCAAATCTTTAAAACAGAAAAGTAGCCTGGCCAGAGTTGCTCAGTGGGTTGAGCACTGTCCTATGCACCAAAAGGTTGACGTTTCAACTCCAGTCAGGGCACGTACAGAAGGCAACCAATCGATGTTTCTCTCTCACATTGGTGTATCCCTCTCTCTCTTCCCCTCTCTGTATCATCAATAAATAAATAAAAATTTTAATTCATGTAGTTTTAACTTTTTTCAAATGTTAGCTTCCAATACTGAATCTCAATTAACTAAAATTTGAAAAGTATTTCAACCAACTTTCAGTTCAACATATTAAAGTCAATATGAAGACCTGATTTGTTTGAAAATTATTTGATTTTCTTAAATGTTAATCAATGTTTCAAACACAGGAACTAGCATAAGGAGTTTACTGTCTGCCTCCCCATCTCACCTCTCTCAGAATATTTACAAATATATACAAATATTATAAGTTATAATAGTTAAGTTTTTTTTTGAATATTCAGGAACTTAATATACTTTCTAATTCACAATAAATAATTTAAAATAAAAATGTTTAAACATTTTAAAGGTATGTTTTCAAAGTGATGAACAGCATGTACATCTGGTATTAACAGAAGTTATGCATCAAATTCTGACATACCACTTTGAAAACTTACCAATTAAAAAAATGACATTTTTACCTCTTCCTGTCCAAGTTGCTCCATGGAATCACAGTAAACTTCACTGTCTGAATCACTTGTCAAATGCTGAACTCCTGAAACATCTTCAACATGATCATCATTTATATCTAAATATGAATAAATGCCCAGGTAGAATAATTACTCTCTAACTGAAGAATAAATGCATTTATTCTGTTTTCAAAATTTATTAGCTTTATATTATTTTCATATTGGGAGACAAATTTGATTTACCAAGCCACATTTTTTTTTCTTTTAACTTAAGAAAATGTTAAATTTAGCTGATAATTTTTATTTGAAAAGATATCAAAGTATTTTATCATGGAATTATACAAAACCTTATAGACCTCAATAACCTTATAAGAGAAAACTGAATAGCAGCTAGGAAACATAAATTTGGATGCAACTACTGCAAGTTTAGTTGTAACATTTAGAAATTATATTTCTTGGCTGAATTGTAATAATGGTAATAATTCATCATGTACATATTATAGGCTCACCCCTAGAGCCCTAAGATATGAAAAGAGTATAACTTACCTTGCTGATTGGAGAACAGAGGTATAATATAATAAGAGGTTTAAGTTAAAAGAAACATAAGGAATAAGAGTAAAACTCAAAATTCGCCCTGTGTGGTGTGGTTCAGTTGGTTGGAACGCTGTCTCAACACCAAAAGGTTGCAGTTTTGATTCCAGATCAGGGAACATACTCAGGTTGTGGTTTGATCCCTGGTTGGGGAGCGTACGGGAAGCAATCGTTCAGTGTTTCTCTCACATCAATGTTTCTCTCTCTCTCAAATCAATTAAAAAATTTTTCAAAATTTTATTTTAAAATGCCATATGAAAACAATTTAGTGCTGGCTGGTGTGGCTCAGTTGGTTGGGCATCGTCCCATACTCTGAAAGGTTGCCGGTTCAATTCCAGGTCAGGGCACATGCCTGGGTTTCAGGCTCGATTCCTGGTTAGGGCGTGGAGGAGGCAACTTATCGATGTCACGCCCTCACATAGATATTTCTCTCTCTTTCCCTCTCCTGTCCTCTCTCTCTAAAAATCAATTAAAAAAATCTTTAAAAAAATTTTTTAAATCTCAATAAAAACATAAAAGCCCTGGCCCTAATTCACTGTCTTCCAAAGATATGGACCCTTATAATATAAATAAACTCTTAGATACTACTGAGCAAGAGATTTTAAACTCTAAATTACTCCTAATATCCTGACATTATTAAAAGAACATCTTATTTATAGGAAAGAGGCTCGACAAATAATAATTATGGGAGAATACCTTGGTGAGCACAGACAGCAGTTTTTCCAGTTTGCTCCAAGTTTTGATCTACAGGCTTTACTTCTTCAGTGCTTCTGCCACTCAGGGAAGAACTGGCATGGATATCGTTCTGTACATCCTGAACAAAGCTGTCTTTATCATAGCCATTAGCAACAATGATGTCCAAACTCTTGTGCTCTGTGGATTTCTTCATCATCTTTTCTTTTATGTGAAAATGGAGAGATTCATAAAAGTTCACATTAAGTCAACTGCTGTATACTATGTTCTGATATCAAGTAGTCATTTCTTCAGCCTAACATAGTCTCTTTGAAGGGTTTCCTACTTGGAGCAGAGAGATGGGGTGCTCCTAGAAAACGGGTGTTTTATATGCTGAGAACTCACACAAACTGTGTTGGTTTCAAAACTGCTTTAGTGCCCTGTGAATTTTCTAGAACCTCCATTAACAGATCATCTCTCAAGGTCTTCACATTCTCTCAGCATAGGCAAATTGTTCTATGAGACCCAGCAGTACATAGTGGCACATACAGCCAATAAAAAGATCCTTCAAAGAAGGTATTATTTGTCATACCTTAATGGAACAAGAAGGCAAAATTAAGTTGTGCAGTTTGTTTTAGTGTCTTTCTGACTCCCCTTTCTAAAACAGTCTTACCAAGAATCACTGGTACTCTTACTAATAAGAACCCCCCAATTCAGGGCCCCATGATTCCAATCTTCCTTCTTCATTAAAACTTCTGCCTGGCCCTGGCCAGTGTGACTCATTTGATTGGAGAGCCATCCTGTGCACTGAAAGGTTGCCAGTTCAATTCCCAGCCAGGGCACATACCTAGATTATGGGATCAATCCCTGATGGGGGCCCATACAGGAGGCAACCAATTGATGTTTCTCTCATACATCAATGTTCCTCTCTCTTCCCCTTTCTAAAAAAAAAAAATTTCCTCTGGTTTAAAAAAAAAACAACAAAAAACCTTCTGCCTGTATCCTAGTCTCTGGATTCCACTCTATTCTTTTTTATTATTATTATTTTTAAAATATGTTTTTTATTGATTTTAGAGAGAAAGGAAGGGAGAGGGAGAGAGAAACAAAAACATCAATGAAAGAGAAACATGGATGGGGTGTTTCCTGCAAGTGCCCACTGGGGATGGAGCCCGCAACCAGAGCATGTGCCCTGACCGGTAGACACTCAACCACAGAGCCACACCAGCTGGGCTCCACTCTATTCTTGACAAGATGGTCAGTTTGATTGTCTCCTCTCCTTGGTAACATATGCATATTCATATTGGAAACAATACACTAAATGAATATATTTCTAATGTAGTATTTCAGGCATTACCTTTGGAAGAGTGACCTATTCCTTTTTTTTCTTTATTTTATTGCTCAGGTACTACAGACGTCCCTATTCTTGTTAACCTTCAATGGACATCTATTCCATCTATGCATACAGCTGGCTGTCCCTAACTCTGTAGCCCTTTTGGTCCACAACAAACCTGATTATAGGGTCACCATTCCCACCATTCCCATACAATGCCAAATCAGCCCAAGTCTCTCCATATCTTTTTATCTCATTTAAAATTATTATCCCATCATACAAAGATTACCATTATCACTTTGTTCTGCTCCTTTCACTTCTTCTCGGGCCTCCTCTTCCTCAGACTCAGCTCCACTATCACTGCTTTCAGCTTTACCATTAACAGTTTTGGCATTTGGAGGAGAAGTTAGAACATTACCAAGACCTAAAATATAAAAATGACCATTTAATCTCTAATGATATAACATCCAATAATGCTGTGATTTAAAAATAACAGAATAAGCCTGGCCAGGCTGAGCATCGACCTAGGATCCAGGAGACAGAGATTCAATTGCCGGTCAGCGCACATGCCCGGGTTGTGAGCTCGATCCTCAGTCCGGGGCATGCAGGAGGCAGCTGATCAATGACTCTCTCATCATTGATGTTTCCATCTCTCTCTCCCTCTCCCTTCCTCTCTCTGAAATCAATAAAGATTGTTTTAAAAAATAATAGAATAATTTTGAAGTAAACAGGTTCTGATATATAACTATAGTATTTTTCTTTGACTAGAAATATTACATATATTACATAAATAAACTCCTTCAATTGACAGTTTATAATAAAAAGATAAAGGAATATTAAGACCTTTCTGAACAAGACAGAGGATAAATTATTTTTAAGTTACCATCAATCAAAATAGTAAAGCTAGAGATGAATGATCTTCGTACATGGTAAATGAAGAGATAGTTGCTATATGCTAGCATACTGTAAACATTCTTTTTGGCCCTAACAATAATCATATCAATATTATAGTTGGACTACATTAAAAAAAATTTCCTTATATTACCTTTAGGGTTTCAAGGGCACAACTTATTTCTTTTCTTTTGCCCAACTTACATCTTTATATATAAGCTTTTTTAAAAAGAAGTATCAGTTAAATGCAATCAATCATTTAAAAAGGCAAATAGTCCTATTGCCCCAAAGTCAGACCTTGGGAGTAAACACAACAGAGCTTCTCAAACAATATGCACAGTAATCACCTCAGATGTAGTTAAAATGAGGATTCTGAATCAGTAAGTGTGGGCTGATCTAAGATTCTGCATTTCCATAAAGCTCCCATGTGATGCTAATGCTGTTGGTTACTGGACCTCATTTTGAGATACAGGGAATTACATTCCCATCAACTCTTTAAGATACTGAAAGACCTCTTAAGTAGCTACTGGCCAAAAACAGTAGTCTTCCTCCATAAACTTTTGGGCTTTATTTTCACTTATATAAATGCACTTTGGATGCTTCTCTGCATTACAAATAACATATTAAATTTCAAAATCTCCATACATCTTAAACAGACCTATATTCTTTTTTTTTAAATTTTCATTGAATTTATTGAGGTGGCATCAGTTAATAAAATTATATAGGTTTCAGGTGTACAATTCTATAATATATCATTTATATATTGTATTATATGTTCACCACCCAAAGTCAAGTCTCCTTCCAACACCATTTATCCCCCCTTTACCCTCTTCTACCTGCCCCCATCCCCTTTCCCTCCGGTAATCACCATACTGCTGTCTGTATCTATGAATTTTTTGTTTTGGTTTGGTTTTTGCTCAAACCTGTCACCTTTTTCACCCAGCCTCCCAAACCCCCTCCCCTCTAACAGCTGACAGTCTGTTTTCTGAGTCTGTTTCTATTTTGTTTATTTTATTCATTAGATTCCACATACAAGTGAAATTATATCGTATTTGCCTTTCTCTGACTGGCTTATTTCACTTAGCATAATACTCTCCAGGTTTATCCAAACTGTTACAAAAAGTAAGATTTCCTTCTTTTTTACAGCCGACAAGTATTCCATGGTGTAAATGTCCCACAGCTTTTTTATCCACTCATCTACTGATGGGCATTTGCACTGCTTCCAAATCCTGGCTATTGTAAATAATGCTGCAGGATGCATATATTCTTCCGAATCAGTGTTTCAGATTTCTTCAGATATATTCCCAGAAGTGGAATCACTGGGTTCGGACCTTAAATATTCTTATTTAAGTCTACCTAATTAATGAAACAAAAGACTAAAAATTCAACTCTATCCTAGGCATTGTGTTCTATTCTCTCTTAGAGAATCATGGTAGCAGCATAGTTCCTGAATCTCCCTTTTTCTCCCAACAACCAGAAAAAGCAAGAATAACAACAATTAATACCAAAAACAGAAATACCAAAAGGCCCTGGCCGGGTAGCTCAGCTAGTTAGAGTGTCGTCCTGATATGCCAAGGTGCAGGTTCGATCCCTGGGCAGGGCACATACAAGAATCAACCAATGAATGCATAAATAAGTGGAACAACAAATCACTGTTTCTCTCTCTCCCTTCCTTTCTCTTAAACTCAAAAAAACACACACAAAAAACACCAAAAAAAAAACCACACCAAAAAACAAAAACACACACCAGTAACAGACATCAACAAAACTAAGTAACAGGGAATACCCCGAATCCCCATCAAATGAATAGCTGTCAAAAACTAATTGACAGCAGCAAAAACAGCATTACAACAGTCCTGTAATAAGAGTTGTAGAAAGCAGAGAATTACTAGTGAGCTTACTACACATCCAAAAATCAATTAATGTAAGATACCATATTAACAGACTAAAAGACAAAGGCCACATGATTATGACAACAGATGCAGGAAAAGCATTTGACAAAATCCAATATGCTTTCATGATAGTAATGCTGAAGAAATTAAGAATACAAGAGAATTTCATCAAGCCAACAAAAGGCATCTACGAAAACTCACAACTAGCATCCATCCTTAACATAAAGACTGAATTTTGTGCTCCCAAACTAATGAACAAGATGTCTGCTTTTTTTTTTTTAATCCTCACCCGAGGGTATTTTTTCTATTGCTTTTGAGAGAGAATAGGAGAGAGAGAGAAAGAACACTGATGTCAGAAAGACACATCAATTGGTTGTCTCCCACATGCGCCCGGGCCAGGGCTGGGGGTTGAGCCTGCAACAGAGGTACGTGCGCTTGACCAGAATCAAACCCAAGACCCTTCAGTCCATGAGCCAACGCTCTAACCATTGAGCCAAACCAACCAGGGCCAAAGATGTCTGCCTTTGCCATCTCTATTGAACATTGTACTAGAAGTTCTAACCAGGGCAGTTATGCAATGAAAAAGGTAGAAAGCATCCAAATTAGAAAGAAGGAGGTAAAACAATCTCTTCCGCAGATGACATGCTTTTCCATCTAGACAATCCTAAGATATCTACAAAAAACTATTAGAACTAATAGTTTGGCAACATTGCAGGATACAAGGTCAATATACAAAAATCAACTGTATTTCTATAATCCAACAATAAACTATCCAAAAATAAAATTAGAAAACAATTCAAATTACAAAAGCCCCACAGAGAGTAAAACACTTAGAACACATTTGACAAAAGAAGGTGTAAGAATTATATACTGCAAATGACAAGACAGTATTGTAAGAAATGAAAGAAGATCTAAATAAGTGAACTAGAAGGCAATATTGTTAAGTTGACAATACTTCCCAAAATGATCTAATTCACTGCAATCCCTATCAAAATCCCAGCTGGCGCTTTTGGCAAAAATTGATAAACTGATTCTAAAATTCATATGGAAATGCAAGGGATCCAGAATAGTCAAACAATCTTGAAAAAGAATAAAGTTGGGCAGCTCATACTTTCTAATTTCAAAATTCACTACATATGGATATTCTGAAAAAGCCCATTTGAAAAAGATATATCTGTTCTACTGAGCCTAATTGGCTATTTTGAACAAAATGCTTTGTTAAAAAAGAAGTCAACAATACAAAATGTCTTGCAACGTGGCAACATCTTACAAAATTGCAAATATCCAACAATCCATATCCTTTGATTCAGCAATTATATTTTTAATATTATTTCTTATTATAAACTTCCACATATGTTGAAAGACATTTGTACAAGGTCAATTTCAGCAGCATTTGAAGATCGGAAGAGGAAACAACCTAAATGTATGTTAGAATGGTATGGATTAAACACATTATGCTACAATATCCCTTGGATTCAGATATGATTCAAAATCCAGAGTATTCCACTAATTTTGCAAAGGTCATACACTATAAATACTGTATATTATGTAACACCAAAAGAGTCTAAGCAACTCTCACTAAAAAAACATTAAGCCCTGGCAGGTGTGGTTCAGTTGGTTGGGCAACATCCTGTACACAGAAAGGTTGTCAGACTGAAAGATTCCTGGTCAGGGTACATGCCTGGGTTGTGGACTCTATCCCCAGTTAGGGGGTGTGCAGGAGGAAGCCCATCAGTATTCTACTCTTACATCGATGTTTCTTTCTCTCTCTCTCTCTCCCTCTCTCTTCCTCTCCCTCTAAAAAATCAATAAAAATAATTTTTTTAATTAAGATTTTTTTTTTTTCAGCAAAACATATGCATAGTTACACTCGATAGGATAAGTAGACTTAAAATAGCTTCATGTCATTTTAGGTTAGGGTTTGCCCCTCAACTAGTTCATGTCAGGACAAGTTTTGCTGCCAATGAGTTATAAAAAACCCAAAACCTTCATTTTATCAACCTTTTTTAATTTTCAAATTATAGCTAATGAATTATGGAACTGAACCTTTATTATTATTATTATTATTAACTCTTGTTTTTATAATTAGTTGTTTAAACATCTGCCTCTGCCAGTAGGCTGGACACTACTAAAGCAGGTCCAGATTTATGCCCATCTGCATCCTAAAAACATGCTTCATATAGAGAAAACACTTAATATTCTTTCTGAATTGAACAAGCATGAATAAGGAAGACTATTTTATAATATTTGACTCCTCTAGGCAAATCAGATATAGAAGGTATGGTACAGAGTGATGCCCAGTAAGCAGTCACTATCAGTTACAGCAGACACAACCTGCAGGCCTCATAACAGGTCAGGATGATTACTGTTCTGAAACACTGTAATTTCCATCAATTACTAAAAGATACCTTGTAAACAGGGATGACAGGGAAAAAAAGGGAGGATACCATATATACTAAAACATATATAATTTCCATTTAAAATTACTCTTATGAGTTCATTTCACTCTGTTTTCTAATAAAATTTAAAGAGCAAATGTTTAAAGTTAATGCCAGCAAATGTGCATATTATTCAACTCCTGCTAGTACATAAAAGATACACACCTTTCAATTCTTTACAGAGTACACAAAAAGAGAATTCTAAAAAGAAAAACCAGGCCCTGGCCAGATAGCTCAGTTGGTTAGAGCATCGTCCCAATACACAAAGGTTGAGGGTTTGATCTCCAGTCACTGCACATACAAGAAGCAACCAATGAATGCAGAAATAAGTGGAACAACAAATTGATGTTTCTCTCTTCCTTCCTTTCTCTCTCTAAAATCAATAATAAAAAAATAAGAAGAAAAAGAAAAGCCAAGCTAAGTAAATTCACTGATATCTTGTTTAAGCTACAGTTAAACCTAGCACTTGCCCTGCCTGGGTGGCTCAGTTGGCTGGAGCACTGTCCCACACACCAAAAGGCTATGGGTTCAATTCCAGGTCAGAGCACATGCCCAGTTTTCGGGCTCGATTCCCAGTAGGGGGTGTGCAGGAGGCAGCCCTTCGATGTTTCTCTCTCTCATTGATGTTTCTCTCTCCTTCTCACTCTCCCTTCCTCTCTCTAAAAAGATCAATGAAAACATATTTAAATAATAACAATAATTTTTAAAAATAAATAAAAACATATTTTCAGGTGAGAATTAAAAACAAACAAAAAAACACCTGGCACTTTAAAGTAAATGTAGCACTTTAAAATCAACTAAAAAATCATTTCAACCCATGGTATTGCTAATAAAATCATAAATAAAATAGAAAATATAATCCACCAAAATAAAACTATGAATTGTTACAACTTTATACATACTAAGTAAACCACCTATCATGTTTCAATAACTTAAGGATTAAAACTTAAGGGTTTATAATATTTTAGAACTTTATGCAATATATTTGCTTAGACTGAAAACTCCTGAGTGACAAGCTTATAAGTTATATAAATCTGTACAGAATTCTTTGGCGTGTAAATTTTAAAACAAAATTTTACATGGATTTCATTATTCCTACCTTCTAAGTATTTAGAGATTTTCTCCAGTCGGACTAGCATGTGAGAGAAAAAAAAAAAAAATTAGACATATAAATATTAATGTATGTATAATGTATCAGTTGTTAAGTTAAAAAAGAGGTAAAATAGTCCAACCTGAAGTTAAATCAGAACTTCTGCCACTCTTTTTGTCCTCTACAATTTCATAAAATGGACCTATGACATGTAGCAATTCTTCAACTTTCTCAGTCATTGGCATTGTTTCAAGAATCTGTAATCAAAAGAAACAAATCTTGTGAAATCACAAACTATTAAGCTGATCTAAATTACTATCAAATAATACAACATTTTGATAATTTTGTGATGTGAGGTTCATTTATAGACTCCCAAAGTACCTATATTAATTACACGCTTAATGTATATAACCTCTTAGAAAAGTTTCAAGTATATTAAAGACTTAAAAATGTTTTCATTTTGAAGACTATTCCGCAAAAGTTTCATGTAAACTTTTACACAATAATCTATAAATTGTGCATTTAAAACTAAGGACATTAATGGTAAATAAAAGAGAAAACTGTGGGGTTAGTGTAAAACTGTTCTTTAACTTGATGGTATTATTTCTAAAAGGGCACAAAAGTAAAATAGGAAATAATAACCACTTTCAGACACCTTTAAAACTGTGGGCCAATTAAGAATCACCAAATTTAAAGAGCAAGGTATATTAATTGAAAAGGCATTCAAATAAATAGCCATTAGTTAGTGGCTGACAGCAATGCAATATGCCAAAGAAAAGCCATAAAGTACTTCCTTTAAGTGAAAAGATATGAATGTAAGTATAGAAAACACACACAGTATATATAGGTTTCAGTACTATCCGAGGTTTCAGGCATCAACTAGGGGTCTTGGAAAATATACCCCACAGTTAATGGAGGACTACTGTACACTGATTTGTCTTTAAACTCAACAGACATAATGTACATTACTCAAATACTGGGTGACTTTTCTGGAAATCCCCATGAGATAGTCTGTAAAATTGTACAGAAAATAGAATTTTATATTTCTTTTTTATTACAAATCAAAATAAACTATGTATAGAAACATGAATTATATACCCCAAACCACATTAGTTACTCTATTCCCTCAAAGCTAAAATCCTATTAAGTTATTTTAGAAGAATTTTTTATTCCAGCAACTTTTTTGGTGATATTTCACTAAATAGTTTATAAATTATGAAAAGCCATTTTCTATTAAGCATTATCTATTATAACATATAAATAAAATTAATAAGGTTCCTTAAAACCTTGAATGCAACGGCATGGAACAAGATTTATACTAAAAAAGTAATTCTAAAGAGCAATAGTATAGTGATTGTGAACTATATTTAAGCACATAATTCAATGGCTGCTTCAGTTAGTAAATTATTGCTATTAGGAAAAGTTCCAAATTCATTTATGAAATCTTTGGGATAATGTACTATCCCCACATGATTATTTCAAAGCATGTAATTTTATCTACTGATGTCCACAAAGCTAAACTCTGAAGATAACTGAAAGCACTAATCAAATTTTCAGTCCATGCATATCTTAATATTTTTAGATTTACCTCTAAAAGTTTCCTATAAACTTTATTATATTCACAGTATGAAATGAACATTTTAAAGTCTCGGTAAAAATAGTTGAAATAGTTGGTGTATTCTTTTGATTAGAGAAGTAGTTACAGAAACCTACAGGAACAGAGGAAGCATTTTAAGCCAGCTACACGCACCCCACTTTAAACTGTGGCTACATCATGCATGAATAAAATTCAACAGGAAAAACGAGTAAATTTTACTTAATGTGTCAATTCAGCTTTATATAACTGAGGTGTGTCCTAAAAATTATAATGTTATTTAAGGTAAAGAAAAGGAATAGTTATCAAACCAAAAAGGCTTTAGATTCTCTTTTTCTCTGCTGCTGAAAGGCTCCTTTGTTATTGTGTTACTGATATAGTTGACAGCCAAAAAAACTAAACTCTGTCCTCTGTTATAAACAAAGTCCACTAAAAAAACTTGTGAAAAAGTAACAAAGGGCACAATCTGAGCAGTGTAGATGTGATTAAAACAAAACAAAACAAAAAAACTAGTTTGAATCTACCAAATCAAAATTACTACACAGATTAATACTGTCAAACCATCTGGCAAAAATACCCTATTCTTTTTTATAAATTTGATGTTCAAAGATAATTTACTTAAAATTATAAACAGACCTAGGTTTCACACCTTGTGATCCATTGTCAACATAAAAATGGTCCTTTATAAAAAAGCACTAAGTTCATCTTTTAAATCTCCAATTTCTTCATAAATTTGCTTCTCTGAACAATGACTTGAACAGACTTAAAAGAGCTAGTTAATAAGGAATGTACTTTCTAGTAGTTACCAGAGAAACTAAAAGTATCCTTATCCTGCTTCTAAAGGATCTTTGCATGGAAAGAAAAATGCTACTGAGAAATAGTGATGGTAATATCTCAATTTATGAGTCAAAAGGTATATAAGACCACTGACGGGAAGTCTTGTAAACTATTTCTCCTAAATAAAAAATTCCAGTGCAGAAATGCTTTCAAGACAGTCCAGGTACTTTCAGATTCTAAGAGACATATTCTGAAATATTCGTATTTATACACTTTCTGCAAAAGTGAACTCTACAGAGAGACAGGGAAGAGGAAAAAAACACACACAAAAGAACAAAATATCATGTTACCCCAATGTGATATATCATAAGGAAAAAAACACCTTAAGATGAACTTTGATGAGACAGATAAAGCCCTAATAAATTCAATAATCTAGANCGTAAATTTCTAATCAGTGCTTGCTTAGGCAGCACATATACTAAAATACAAATATCTACTCACTGGGTTGTTCACCTGAAACTAATATAATGTACATCAATGGAATTGAAAAATTAAAAATTATTAAAAAAGAAAATCAGGTTTCTTTTTATTGTTATGTGGATATTTTTATTTTCCTCTATGAATTATTTTCCCTACCTTTTTCATTTCTTCAACATATGCAATCATGGCTTCCTCTTTGGTCATATCACCCAATGAACTCCAAGCATTCCTAAAAATGAAAATATCCACATAACAATAAAAAGAAACCTGATTTTCTTTTTTAATAATTTTTAATTTTTCAATTCCATTGATGTACATTATATTAGTTTCAGGTGAACAACCCAGTGAGTAGATATTTGTATTTTAGTATATGTGCTGCCTAAGCAAGCACTGATTAGAAATTTACGTAACTTACGAAGTGATCACCCTGATAAATTTTGTACCAATCTGACACTATATATAGTTATTACAATATTATTGACTATATTCCCAATGCTGTACTTTCCATTTCCACGACTATTTTGTAACTACCAATTTGAAAGACACCCAATTTTCAATTGCTCAGAATATAATTTATAGTTAATAATATAGGGTCACAAATTTAAAACAAGCTCTACTTAAAGCCATATTATATTTCCAAAGGATCTCTTTAAGTGCACCATCTTGAATAAAAATATTACAGTGAATAAACTAGCAAATTAAACAATATTTTAAATTAATAAGTATATAACCCATTTATAGACTACAGATTATAGATACTGTCTTACATAGACTATAGGCTATTCATAAATATTTGCTAAAAACTCTTTACAAGTTTTTATATCATTATAACGAACAATGACATAAATAAATATTTTAGAAGCCTCTACATGAACTGTCACAGTCATGTTTTAAACAGAAGTTTTGGTTAAAAGTGCCCATTAATTTAAATAAAAGGCTAACTTACACTTTTAAAAAAAGAAAATGATTTCTTCTAAAAAAATAAGTGTGAGGGACAGGAAAATTTTAAATCCCTAGATAATGAGAATAGTCCTTTAGAACTTTTGCCTAAAATGAAAACCTCGCCCGGCTGGGCGTGGCTCAGCGGTTGAGCGTTGACCTAGGATCCAGGCGATCGGGGTTCAATTCCAGGTCAGGGCACATGCCCAGGTTGCAGGCTCGCAGCCCATCAATGACTCTCTCATCATTGATGTTTCTATCTCTCTCTCCCTCTCCTTCCCTCTCTCTGAAATCAATAAAGATATATTTTTTTAAAAAAAAAGAAAACCTCGCCCTGCTGGGTGTGGCTCAGTGGTTGAACATCAACCTAGGATCCAGGCAATCGGGGTTTGATTCCCGGTTAGGGCGCATGCCGGGGTTTCGGGCTCAATCCCCAGTTGGGGGCGTGCAGGAGGCAGCCAATCAATGACTCTCTCATCATTGATGTTTCTATCTCTCTCTCTCCCTCTCCTTTCCTCTCTCTGAAATCAATAAAGATATATAAAAAAATATAAAATGAAAACCTCTTGTTTTATATGTTTTTTCCAGAAGCACTTTAACTCCACCAAAAGTCAATTCTGAGGGAAAATGGTAAATAAATAAATTTTCTTAAAACAGACTAAATAAAATGTTGCTTGTATACTTAACCTATTATTTTATGACTACTCATAAAGCTCTCAGAGAAAAGCAGAGAACAAAGAAATCTTCAAAGCAGTTTAAGGACTTCCAATTCAGAAAGAAGAAATTTAGCCTTCAAAATGTGTGGCTCTTAAGACAAGCTTCACCAATTAGCATACTCTATTCATACCCAACAGTCTAATTAGACGTTTCCTCAGACATTTGCAAAGTCCTCAAGAGTATTTAAAACATCAAGTGTTGCCCTAGCCAGTCTGGTTCAGTGGTTAGAGGGTCGGCCTGTGGACTGAAGGGTCCCAGGTTCAATTTCGGCCAAGAGCACGAACCTTGGTTGCAGGCTCAATTCCCAGCCCTGGTCCGACTGTGTGCAGGAGGCAACCAATCAATGTGTCTCCCTTACACTGATGTGTCTCTCCCTCTCTCTCTTCCATTCTCTCTGAAACAATGGAAAAAATATCTTCGGGTGAGGATTAAAAATTCAATCAATCAATCAATCAATAAAACATCAAATGTTAGTCAATTGGAAAAAGAGCAAAAGTATCTCTGGATTTTTCTTTCTTTTATTAATTTTTTATTTACTGATTGATTTTAAAGAGGGAGAGAGAGAGAGAGAGACAAACATCAATTTTGTTGTTCCACTTATTTATGCACTCATTCTTATATGTGCCCTGACTGGGGATCAAACCCGCAGCCTTGGTGTATCAGAATGATGCTACAATCAACTGAGCTACTGGGACAGGGCAACTCTATGGATATTTTATTATTCTAATAAGTATATTAAAAATCAAATTTTAGCCCAGCCAGTATTGCTCAGCAGTTGAGCACTGACCTATGATCCAAGAGATCGTGTGGTTTGATTCATGGTCAGGGCACATACCCGGGGTTGTGGGCTCAACCCCCAGTACGGGAAGTTCAGGAGTCAGCCAATCAATAATTCTCTCACCATGGATGTTTCTTTCTCCCTCTCCCCCTCTCCCTGAAATCAATAAATACATATTATTTTTTTTTAAGTCAAATTTTAGTCCTGGCCAGGTAGTTCAGTTAGTTAGTGTTGTCTCAGTATGCCAAAGTGGGGGTTCAGGGCACATACAAGAACCAATAGATAAATGCTTAAGTGAATAGAAAAATAATCAGTTTCTCTCTCCCTCTCTCTCTCATTTCTCCTCTCTAAAAAAATCATAATTTTTTTTAAAAAATCAAATTTTTCCCAGGCTGGGCATGGCTCAGCGGTTGAGCATCGACCTAGGATCCAGGAGATCACAGTTCTACTCCGGTCAGTGCGCATGCGTGGGTTGCATGCTCGATCCCCAGTCGGGCGTGCAGGAGGCAGCCGATCAATGATGACTCTCTCATCATTGCTGTGTCTCTGTCTCTCTCTTTCCCTATCCCTTCCGCTCTCTGAAATCAAGGAAGATATATTTTTAAAAAAATTTTATTATCCAAGTATAATGGGACAGGAGTGATGCCTTAGATAAAATGTTAGTAGTCAGTACCTGAGTCATGTTCCTAGTTACTTTTTTTTTTTTTAATCCTCACCAGAGTATATTTTCCATTGCTTTTCAGAAGGAGCGGAAGGAAGGAGAGAGGGAGAGAGAGAGAGAAACATCAATGTGAGAGAGACACATCAATTGGTTGCCTCCCACACACTCCCCATCCAGGGTCAGGGATCAAGCCTGCAACCGAGGTTTGTGCCCTTGTCCAGAATTGAACCCAGGACCCTTCAGTACACAGGCCGACACTGTAACCACTGAGCCAAACCCACTGGGGCCCTAGTTACTTTTTATCTTAAAGGCTCAAAACAATATGATTTTAGAAGTCTTTTTTTTTAATTTTTTAAAAAAAATATATCTTTATTGATTTCAGCGAGAGGAAGGGAGAGGGAGAGAGAGAGAAACATCAATGATGAGAGAGTCATTGATCGGCTGCCTCCTGCACACCCCTGGCTGGGATCAAGCCCGCAACCCAGGCATGTGCCCTGACCCGGAATCGAACCTTGATCTCCTGGATCCTAAGTTGATGCTCAACTGCTGAGCCATGCCCAGCCAGGCACAAGTCACTGTTTTTCATGTCAGGTCAAAAAGGCAGGAAAGTTTGTCCCTTTAACTTTGTGTGGGAGCTGCTCTTGACATAATAAAAAGAAAAAACTCCATAAAAGGAAAGACTAACTGAAAATTCTTTATTATCTCTGATGCTATTCCTTTCGTTTTATTGTTTTCCTCTCTCACCCAAGACTTTCCTATTTGTGTGAAACTGTGTTAAGAGCACAAGAAGGAGCCCAGACCGGTGTGGCTCAGCAGTTTAGCGTTGACCTAGGATCCAGGTGATCGGGGTTCAATTTCTGGTCAGGGCACAGGCCCGGGTTGCGGGCCTGATCCCCAGTTGGGGGCATGCAGGAGGCGGCCAATGACTCTCTCATCATTGATGTTTCTATCTCTCTCTCTCCCTCTCCTTTCCTCTCTCTGAAATCAATATATATTTAAAAAAAAAAAAAAGGAGCACAAGGAAGATAAAAGCTGTATCCTATACCTAGAGCCCGTTACACACAGAATAATATATAGCTACATAAATAACTAGCATTACAGTAAAATTTCCTTCATAGCTCTCTACATAAAATTACCATTTATATCTTCCAACAGGATCCCAGAATCCAGGTCTTGATAGTTTACAGGGGCCTTCAGTTGCCTGCTTATAGAAGCTATAGAACTTGAGCATCATTTCATTTGTTGGCTGGAATGAACCTTTTGGAAACATAACAATAAATAAAGATCATTTGGAGAATGCAATTGATAATCTAAGGCAAAGTCACTGAGCTATACAAATTGTGATTTTTTTAGTATTTCTTTAATAGTTCAGATAACTATTTCTATCCTATAGAAACAAAAGTTATGGCTCTGTTGGTTGCTTTACTCTTCAAATTTTTTAAAAACTCTGAGATTTTACATTTTATTTTTTTTAGTTTTTTAGGTTTTTTAAAATCTGTTTTTATTGATTTCAGAGAGTGGAAGGGAGAGGGAGAGAGAGGTAGAAACATCAATGATGAGAGAGTCATTGATCGGCTGGCTGCCTCCTGCATGCCCCATGCTGGGGAGCAAGCCCGCAACCCAGGCATGTGCCCTGATGGGGAATGGAACTATGATCTCCTGGATCATAGGTTGATGTTCAACTGCTGAGCAGTGCCAGCCATGCATGAGATTCTGCACTTTAATAACAATGCCTAACACAGTTCAATAAATAAAAGAATAGCCCTGGACAGGTAGGTCAGTTGGTTATTGCATTGGCCCAATACGGCAAGAATGCATGTTCAATCCCCAGTCAGGGCAAATACAGGAAGTAACCAATGAAGGCATAATAAGTGAAACAAATCGATGTTTCTCTCTCTCCCAATTCAATTTAAAAAAATTAATAAGGCTCTAGATGGTTTTGCTCACTGGTTAGAGCATTGGCCCTGAGACTGAACGGTCCCGAGTTCAATTTTGATCAAGGGCATGTACCTCGGTTACAGGCTCAATCCCTAGCCAGGGTCAAAGTGCGTACGGGAGGAAACCAATTGATGTGTTTCCCTCACATCGATGTTTCTCTCTCTCCCTCCCTTCCACTCTCTCTGGAAAGCAATGGAAAAAATATATATCCTTGGGTGAGGATTAAAAAAATTATAATAATAAAAATAAATCAAAATAAAAAAACTTGTGTATACTGCCCTGAGCTTGAGAGAGTCCCCATTCTTGAAGATGCTTCTAATGAGATTAGTCACATTACCAAACGTGTATTTTTTATTTTTTTTAAAGTTAATAAGAATAAATGAACAAACGTGCTTTAGGTATAACCAAAGTAAATGGCAAGTGTCATTTAAAAACACAAATATATTAAAATATACAATAACTGTATACAATAACTGTAACTGTAATAAGGTATGTTTAGTCAAATATTGTAACAAACCAAAAATGACTAGCATAAATGAAAAAGTTAAATGTATATTCTGCTTAATAAAATTTCAACAGTAAGAAATTCAACTCCTCTAGGCCAAATTTCAGTTTTTTAGTGGCTAAGGAAATTCAGCTAAAACTAACCAGAGTGTACTGTAATTGAAAAAGAATTAAACCAAGATAAAATAGATTTTTCACTTCCTACATCAATTTCTTTAAAGACCTGTCTTCAGCTCGGCCGGGCGTGGCTCAGCACTTGAGCATCAACCTAGGATCCAGGTGATCAAGGTTCGATTCCTGGTCGGGGCACATGCCCGGGTTGCGGGCTAGGCAGTGATCCACGACTCTCTCATCATTGATGTTTCTCTCTCTCTCTCTCTCTCTCTCCTTTCCTCTCTCTGAAATCAATAAAGATATATTTAAAAAAATAAAGACCAATCTTCATATATGTTTCTGCCTATCTATAACCCTTTTATGTTTAAAAATTTGTATAATACTCAGTAACAGGGAAAAATTGGAATGTAAGTATTTTATGAGTATTTAGCTAAATAAATATGAGACCATTATACAACAGGATAATTTAAAACTACAGCCTTTAAAAATTATATAATAGGAAGGGTATAGGGGGGATAAATGGTGATGGGGGAAAAATTAAAGAAAAAAATTATAGTATAGAAAAAATATAAATAGCATGAGAAAAGTTTCATAATATACTATAAAATAAGAAAAAACAGCATATTCAGTATATTCCACTTTTACAAAACAAGTATTTATGTATATAAAAAGTATAATAGAAGAAAACTCATCAAATAGTTAAAAGATGATCTCTCTGGACAGTAGGCATACAGGTTATTTTTACTCTTTTTTTCTCGTTTGTGTTTTTAAAATATTTATTTTCAGTGTGTATTACTTTTATACCAAAAATTATAAATATAAAAATTAAAACTATAAAAATATATTTTTAAAACTTGACAGATTGCCCTGGCTGGTATAGCCCAGTGGTTAGAGCATCGGCCCAGAGCACTGAAGGGTCCCGGGTTTGATTCCTGGTCAAGGGCACATACCTGGGTTGCAGGTTTGATTCCCTGCCCTGGTCTCTTTCATTTCAATGTTTCCTTTCCTTTCTCTCTTTCATTCCTTCTCTCTCCCTCTCTCTTCCTCCCTCCCTCCTTTCCACTCTCTCTAAAAATATGTGGAAAAAATATCCTCAAGTGAAGATTAACAAACAAAAAAAACACAAAAAACTTTATAGATTACATAATAAACAGCATGTAGTAATCAAAAGCTAGTAGTACATGAAAGTGAAAATTACAACACAGACAAGATGAGAGCTGGTATTTCAGGTTTGGCGAAGAATGAGTAATTAATTCCAAAATCACAATAATAATTATCTACATAATGTTCATTTAGGAGTATCTATTAGATATACTGTTTCAATGATATAGTCCTTCTTTACATAGCAGAGAAGGAAAATGAAAAAACTAGTTAAAAATAGTTATCTATTTAAGTAACACAAATTTAAATTTAAAACATCAAAAGCCTCATCTTTATAATATCTTCAGGAAGTTAATCAAATAAAATTTAAAAGTTAATTGGTTAAGGTGGATAATACATACATTAGCACAGGTTAAAGCAAAAACTGGTAACATACAATGAAGGTATTCTGTAAGACACTGAATTAAAGTATAATCTCTGTCCTCAAGGTTCTCACACACGATAAATTTAATATATGTGTTTAAAATATTATCTAAGAATTTGCCCAGCCATGGCTCAGCAGTTGAGCATCAACCTATGATCCAGGAGATCAAGGTTCAATTCCCAGACAGGGCACAAGCCCGGGTTGCAGGCTCAATCCCTAGTGGAGGGTATGCAGGAGGCAGCCAATCAATGACTCTCATCACTGATGTTTCTCTCTCTCTCCCCTGCCTTCCTCTCTCTGAAATCAATAAAGACATATTAAAAAAAAATATATATATATATATAATCTAAGAATTTAAATTTTCTAAAGGTCAAGGGAATACCAGACATAGATGTTATAGAATTAATTATAACCTTAGGACTTAAATACAGATTAAGCAAAAAGGAACAAAAAAATGCCCTGGCCAGTGTGGCTCAGTTGGTTGGGGTATCCTCCCATGCACCCAAAGGCTGCTGATTGGATTCCCTGTCAGGGCACATTCCTGGTTGGATGCTTGGATGCCTGGTTAGGGCACATGCCTGGGTTGCAGGTTCAATCCCTGGTGGGGATGAGTACAGGAGGCAGATGGATGTTTCTCTCTCTCTCTCTCACCCCTCCCCTCTCTCTTAAAAAAAAAAACAAAACACACCAGTAAAATATATTTTACTCGGGTAAGGTTAAAAAAAAAAAAGAAATAAAAAATTATAAGCTCTTACTCTGAAACACAGTCCAGGGCAAACCAAACAATTTAAAAGTAATGTAAAAATATTTTAAAATTCATTGTAACAATACTTCTGTCTCAATTAAATCAATTAAGTTTCACAGGATAACAGATTTTGAACACTGTCCAACACAAGTGCCATTTGGCAGGGTATCTTAACTAAGCAATACCTTATTATGTAATAGAAACTTTATTTACATGAGTTTCTTAATAAGTGATATGTAAATAAAAAATAAAAAGATTAAAAGTGATATGTACGTCTATAAAGGTAGTAGACTAGAGACATCAAGTCTAGCTTTATCAATTTTTAAAAATATTTTAAAACATGTAATTTAGGAGAAAGGATGAAGATAGAATTTATACAAAACTCTGAGAATCATGCCTTTCTATAAACTCTCTTAATTGGGCATTTTTAAAAATCAATATCTAAATAAGTTCCCATTTCTTCACATTTGTTCACTCTTATCTTTCAATACCCCACATGTCCTCCTCCAATTTGATGTTTGAGATTACAAAAAGGACACTATTTTGTGTATATTTGTTTCCAAACTTTTTGAATTTGTACTTAATTAATTTTTATTGAATGGTGTTGAATATTCAGTATGCAGCCAAATAATGATTCATAAAAATAGAGAACATGATATTAAATACTACAGTCATACATTAATGTTGTATTTAGTTAGCATTACACTCTGGCACAATAATAGTACTTAAAAGCATCATTTAAAATACAGGTTTATTTATTATTATACTGCAGGAGGATATGAAGTGAAAAATAAAAGTCCCCCTCTCCAAGTTTCTTCACAGAAAAAAAATATTTGAATAATGGCCTTAAACTTCCCAACACTGGTCAAAGACATAAATTATAAATTCAAAAAATTGCAAACCCCAAAGAGAATAAATATGAAGAAAACTATACCTAGATACATCCTAGTCAAATTGCAGAAAATCAAAGGTAAAGGACAACTCAAAAGACTTTTCTCCCAGGTCCAATATGAGTATAAAAAGGAGAAACTAGTACAATAGCAAAAAGAGTAGCAAATATATATATATTACAATAAATAGTTTTACAAATGAATGTAGTTCTTCTTTCATTTCTTTCCCTTCATATCAAAGTTTTCAAAAGGCTTAAATAGTAGACTTTGTGAGTATGTGCCACCAGGCATCCCCATGCCAGTTGTTTTTTTAACATACCCAAATCCGCAGTCATTAAGTAACAAGACTTTTGTTTTCAACAATATAAAAGCACTTAAAATCTAGATGGCATATTTGTCTCAGGCTTGAAAGATCAGTAGAAATTAATTCACATTTGATGCCTCCCTTTAGTTACATTCCTTTGAAATGCAGAAAAGTAGGTTAAATAAGCAAGAGTAGAAACCGAAAGGTTAAAAGAGGTGAGATTCGTAAACTGGGGCCTCAGGCCTCTGCATGAGGTTTCTTCAGCCGGGTCCCCAGTGCACGTACCATTTTTCGGCAAACTCTGGATCACCTTCACCGCCGCCTGAAACCTGGTTTCATGCACGGATCTTGTGTCCGCCATCTCCAGCCGCCAGCGCCAGCCCGGGTCCCAAGGTCCGTCGGCTGGAATTACGAAGCAGCAGCACCAGCTTTCCCAGGAGCCTGCATGCAACTAGAACAAGGAGCGCAATCGCGGATCAACATGCCCAAAAGAAGGAGGCCGAGGAGCACAGCTGGTCAGTTCCCCTGCCCTATCCAGGCCACACAGACCGAAGTGGCCCCGCTCCTTCCTCCTCCCAGGGGCGTGACCAAGCCGAGAAGCCGGCCTGCGAAGACAAGAACTCACCGAGAGGAAGACCATCTCTAGCAGAAGGTGGAGGGGCTCCGGCCACCGGTGGTCGCGGAGCCGTTCTCCCACCCGCAGGACCCTGGCGGAGCAGCCACACCCCCCATCCCGGCGGGGTCTCTGTCCCTCCGCGCTTTCCCCCACAGCCCCGCCCCAGAGCCGCCCGAGGACGCGCTCGCTGCGGCCACCGCAGCCTAGCAGCAAACTCCACCCACCGCCCCACGCCGCAGCGATGACGCGAGCAGTCCGTGGGTCTCTGAGAAGGGCCGGAGAAAGGGAAAAAGAAGTAAGATGGATCCGCGGAGGACGCGGGGCTCGCTTTTGGAACAGAACAGACCTATGTGTACGCACAAGCACAGTGCGCATGGGACGGGATTGCTGGGACTGGGCCCGAAGCAGCGCGCGTCGGTAATGCTGGCCACAGAAACCCAAAAGACTCTAGTCTTCAGCGCCTGCCCTTTGTTAGGTTAAGGTTAGAGGGAGGTAATGGCACGTAAACAAAGGGAGAGGCAAGGTGCGAACCTTAAATTCTGCCGTTTAAGGTGTGGCTCAGTTGGTTGAGCATGGTCCCGTGCCGGAGAGGTCGCTGGTTCCAATTCAGATCAGGGCACATGCCCGGGCTGGGGGCTCTATTTCTAGTAAGAGGCGTGCAAGAGGCAGCCCATCAATGTTTCTCTCTCTCCCTCTACCTTCCTTTCTCTAAAATCAATTAAAATATACATTTTTTTTTAATTTGCCATTTAAGTTCTGCGACCTAGGTCAAGTTAACTTTGCCTCTCCGGTGGCAATCTTTAAACCACCCCAAAGGGTAGATGAAAGAATTTAGGGATGCTGGATGGCGATGTTTCGCAGTGCTTGGCTCGCAAGTCTCTGACAGCTTTAGCTGCGGGAGACAAGGACATCCGTCCAAGCTACGAGCTAAGGAAAGAGAGGGGCGGTCGCTCGCTGTTAGTCTGGCCGGGGCGGGGAGAGCACCTGCCCCAGCACCACCTCTAACGTCGAGTCGCAAGGGAGCTGAGCACAGTCTAGCTCCAACCCGATTTAATAGGGGAGGGGCGAACGAGGAACCTGTACAGATCGCCAACCCTAGGAAGGGGTACCCTGGACCTTCACCTTTCTAGCGCAACGCCCCGCATAGTCTAAGGCTTCTTTCTAGGAAGCGCTCCTAGGCCTATCGTGGGGGGGACTGATACGGGTCGTGGGGGTTAAGTCCTGCGGCCCAGAAACCCCGGTCGCCAGGTCATTTTTGTCAGTTCGGGATGGGTTAGGAGGGTTACTAATACAAACCTACTAGTACAAATATAGTAGTAATTACTCTTCCCTCGGAGCCGCAGTGCCGGCATTTACCTTGGCGTTGCCAGGCTAGGCCTGTCGGGTCCCAGACCTTAATGTCCTCGCCTTGCCCCGAGGACTTATGGGAAATGTAGTCTCCCGGACTTGGCGCTTCCGGACACCGCCTCCCGCGGCGCGCGTCCCTCCCACCTGTTCCGGTTGGGCTTCTGGGTTCTCAGGCGCTCGGGCGCTGACGGCGGATGCCCCCCTTCCTGCTGCGCCCCACTTAGTGCAAATTCAGAATACTTGTGCCGAGGGGGACACTCTGTGGTGGCCGTCGGCGGTATCCTGGTGCGACCCGACTGGAGTCTAATTTCTTGCACCTGATCCTCACTAACTTTGAGGTTACTGGTAAGAAAGCAAAGAGTGCCTTCAGACTACAGCTTACTTAGTGCCAAGTTTTTGCCAAAAAACGCCCTAGGGTGTTTACGAGTGAACAAATTGAGACTCATATTAATTAATTTGCTCAAGGCCCCACAACTTAGTAGCAGAGCCAGGAGTCAGCCAACCCCTCCCCCCCCGAAAAAAAAACAAAACCCTAGTAACGAACAAACGAAAAATTCCTGCTTTAAAACTTTTATTTAGCAGAACACCAAAGTGTAAGAGACTAATAATTTTTCTCCTTTGCTCAAACTAGGAAGATTTTATGTGTTTAGTATCTACTGCTTCCTCTACTCTTCTCCTGTTCTTTGGCATTCTTTTCAGTTCCAATCTACTCGGCCATGCATACTTTTTAAAGGGTTTGGGTGTTCATTTCTAATCTAGGACTTCGTTTTTACAACTTTATTAAACTTATGTAATAAGCTGATTTACAATATGTTTATAACAGCACTGTTTGGTAAATAGCCCCAAACCTGGAAACAACTCGGTGACCAGCAGCAGTAGAATAGATAAATATGAAGGACTGAAGAGCCATGAGAACAAATGAACCATACCTATTCAACATCTTCTGTGAATCCCTTAAACATAATGTTAAGGAAAAGGAATCTAGATTCAAAAGAACATATTGTATGATTCCATTAACATAAAGTTCAAAATCAGGCAGGAGGTATAGTGTCTGAAAATGGGACGAGGGAATTTTAGGGTGCTAGTAATGTTGTTTCTTGCATTAGGTGCTTGTTACATGAGTATGTGCACTTTGTGAAACTTGAAATGTGTAGCTAATATACGTTTATTTTTCTTTGTATATGTGAAAATTCAATTAAAAATTATATTTAAAGAATGTAAGTGCCATGAGGACAAGAGAGTGATTAAATTTATGTGACACGAATGGGGAAGATGTCACGGAGGAAGCAAATTAGAGCTGGTTTTTCTGTGATGAAATGGTCTTTACAAGCAGAGAAGATGGGAAAGAACCATTCTAGGGAAAGATGTAAAAGCTAAAACAGCACACCATGTGTGGTAAGTAGCAACTTTGTTCATGTGATGGGACCAAAAATATGAAGGAAGATGGGACAAGGCATTGAATGAAAAGCTGGTTGAAGATCATGTATGCCATGCAAAGGAATTTGTATTTTGTTCATAAGTCTATAGACTATCTATTTTTGTATCAGCTACAGTTTTATCTGGAAAGCAGAACCACTATGATTAATATGGCATAAGAGATTAATTACAGGGATTAAACTATATATCTGTGAGAGCTGGTGAAGAGGCCAATAGAAGGCTATTGCCTCTGTGTCTAGAGGTGAGCCTAAAATTGCTATAGGACAGAATGTCTTATACTGTGGAAGTAGTGTGAAGTAGGGAAGAGCAAACACAAATTGAAGCCCCTAAAAACAGACTGGAAATAATGAGGACAAATTGAACCCTACAGTATCTCACCACCTGTAAATTCAATGACATTGATAACCTTCAGAACAAAATGGTACCAATCTCCATGGAGCTGAATTCATGCCTGACCTAAGATTCAGAGAAGCTGTGGGTCAAGTTGCTATTCTGCCTGGTACCCTTAAGAGCTGCTTCACTTTTTTTTTTTTTTTTTTTTTTTCCAA